ACACCTGGATAGCTCTGGAACCAACACTTGGCGATGAAGTGGGACATTGTAGACACCAGACCTGTGAAGCCTTGGAGGTAGGTGAATCCCTCTGCTAGATGAACACAGTAGTGTTGCTCCATGAGCAAAACCCCAGATCATTTCATTTTGCACATTCTTGCAAAACAAGCTGACGCTGATAGGAACGCAGGAACTGATAAGAGACCTGGTGAAATATTGGGAAAGACATTTTTCCATGTTGCTGTTACCTGAGAGAAACTCCAGGCATAACTCACACAGTTTAAGGAATGGCACAGTCTAAAGTATCTGGAGATAGTGGAGTATTTTATTGCAGTGGTATCTGCAAAGGTGCATCACACAGGGAGACCTAGAGCACAAACATAAATGATTACTAGGAGATGTCTCTCACGGTGTTTGAATATATTCTAATGTTCCACCAGCTACCTAGAAATATATTGTTTGTTTAGGTTATTTTTAACAGTCTATTTTAAGGTTATTTCAAAATAGATAAGCAAGTAAAAGTGTGCTCAGCTGGACTTTAGGAAAGAAACTGGAAACACTGGCCAGGGCTCACCTACGAAATACAGTGCTGGCACCCATACATGGGAGTTTCTTGTCATATTCTGCCATTTATAATTATTTCGGTTTTGCTTTTTATTTCATGACAGTTTAACTTTGTTCCTATTTAACAGAAATATTTTGGGTTTAATTGAAATTCAGGTAACCACTGTTGTGATCTTCAAGCATCATTATCTTGACCCGGGCTTCCCAGAGATGGGATATGCCTAGAGGAGCAATATCCATAGACACTGTATGCAAGCGTGAGGTGGACAGGACACCCTGCAATGCTTCTCCTTTGCCCTGGTGGAACATAGGATCTCACATGGCTGAAAACCCCTTGCAAATGGGGGTTCCACAAGAATCTCTAGGGTAGGTGCCCCTGTAGGCAGCAGACAGGACATCAGGGTGGAGTGGCAAGGCTGAGTCTCCCATTACAGCACAGCACAAACAAGGCAATCTACATCTCTGCTTTATTTCAGATATCTGGACACTCATTACAGTCTGTATGGAACATGACTCCACACTCATGTAGCAGTCCCTGTGCCTATATCTGTAGCAGTATCTGGCTGTGATACTGCAGATTCCCTTACTCACCCATCACCAGCTCCGTGATTGTGCTTCCTCACATCCCTGTGATTCCCAGCCTGGTCGAGTCTCAATGTTTTGCTAGATTCAGCAACTGTGAGAGTAGAGTGAAATGCTGAATTGACAAGTCTGATTGGTTGGGTGTCTCTGATGTGAGAGAATGCTTAATTAATTTTCTTCATGAAGTCAAAACAGACAGTTTTAAATGAAAACAAATTGCTTACATCTTAAGCAAAATGCAGAAAGCTCGTAAGAGGGAAAATAACATTGGATTAAAATATGATACTTTTGTGTTGAAGAATCAAGCACTATTTTTTATGCTGACTGAGAAGAATGTCAAAACTTTCCTGGTTCTGAAAAACAATGCGCAGGATTTTGTGTTTGTGCTCTTCTTTATGGTGTAATGAAGTCCTTATAAACACCCAATACCAAGGCCACGTTTACTGGCTTTCAGGGCATAATAACTGTAAAGTCCATAAAAAAGAGAATAAAATTACAGAAGTGTAATAAAGGAAGTGTGAATAAAAAGTGAGAGGTATGTGAATATGGCACCAGTCTTTCACTGGAAATTTCCAGTTCCACTTCACCATACACTGCAATAACAGCGCTGGGTGCTACTGCTTATACTGTGCTCTGTACAAAGGAGTGATAACTTTCCCATCCAACCTCACTGCCCTTTCCTTTCTTATGTTGTTTGCCTGATACTTGCATCTTGACTAAAATTACTCATTCACATCCTAGTTTAAGGCATCACTACTGAATTTGACAAGGTAACATGACTGATTTGAGTTTGGCTTCAGGGTGCTAGTAAAAGAAACTTTATGTAAAAAACCTAAGGTAGTAGAGACTGTAAGAAGTGGAAAGTGAAATGACATTATACTTCCTTCTGGCATCTGTGTCCTGAGTCTGTGAGTACAAGGGACACCTCTGCTTTCCATGACAGCCTCTCTGGGCCAAGCATTTTCCCATTTCTTTCTTGGATGTCCCCACTGGGGGCTTCAAATCTTCCTAAGGATACCATTCAGAGGCTGTGTCCCTGTCTTTCCTCCAAAAGAGGAGAGAGGAACTGGCATTGACAAGAGGTGCATGCCCAAACTGCCTGCTGCACTTACCATTGAGCAAAATACATCTACACGCTAAACTGCCCAAGTAGAACACAGTGCCATTTTTTAAACAGATGGAAGAATTTGAGTTTGGGGTGTTTTGCATCTCTAGCATCACAGCAGATAGTATTGTGAGCAAACTTTGCTTCAAGGTTTTGGGCAGAATGTAGCCAGAAAGCTACAATGAGAACATAAGTTTTATACAGCACATGGTGAAGGAAAACATTGGGAAACACTAGAACTCTGTACGGACTGATGCTGTTATCCACGTTCTCAGCCAGCTAATCTCCCAGTATCAACACTGGTGTTTATTTAACACTGAAGAAAGGCGTGGAGCTCTTCACAAGACAAATTCTGCATCTCCAGCAGAACTGTTTTCTTCTTTGTGAAAAATAGCTTCTTTATGCAGTAAGTCACTGAATTTGTTGCTGCTTTATATCCTTCCAGTCACTTTTCTTCCCTCTCTTTCTTGACCCTCCTGGCCAGGGTGGGAGGCAGCACATATAAAGCCCTTCAGAGGCCAGCTCATAAAGGGGGTTTAAAGAGTTGTGGGTGGTTTTCAGCTCCTATGAAAACAAAGGGAAGTTGAGAGTGCTTGAAGCTTGGCAAAGGATCAGGCTGTGACTGATTTACATATCTGAACTCTCTCTGTTAATGGGGCTGCCTGAGAGACAGAACAATCAGGAATTTTCATTTCCTCTTCTGCTCTGCCTAGGTAGGAAAGGCCACACTTTCCCAGTTAGTGAGTTTAGTTGTTTTTTGAGTATCTGGGGGGTTTCCACAGCTGAATTTCTGCAGTGTGGGACACAGGTGAGCAGCCTCCTGTGTGGCCCTTGTACATGATACCTTTCCTGCACCATCGGGGAAAATCGTGTTTTTAACAGTACTGCTGAAAATAGAAAAGCGAAAGTTTATTCTCTTTGTCAATCCACATACCACCTTATTGCTTCCATGAATTAGTGGAAATAATCCAAGAGTAAAGCACTTACAGGTGGATGTGATAAAGCCAAAGACAAGACCCTCCTGACTTCTTTAGAGCCAAGCATCCCTCCTGCATCTAAACCTAGTCTTTAAAAAGCTACTCTCTGGTTTATGTTGCAGATTCTTGTGATGGATCCTGAATACAAAGAATTTAAAATTTTAAAGCACTTCTATGATCACACCATATAAGGAGGGAAACCAAAAGCTATTAAACTGTTTCATGGTTTTTATGGGGTTTTTTATTGTTTATGGTTCTATAGCTTTTAAAATGTTTGTTATTTTAATGGTAACAAATAAAAAACAAAACTGTGTCAGTTTCACGAACTAAAGTTAATCCCTTAAGCCAACAGCCGGTACCAAAACAGGATCTCACTGATGCAGAGAAGATACAACAGTTTGGGAACTGACCTGGGATCTCTACTGACTTGACAGGCTTACGGTCTTGGTTAGAAGTGTAGCTTCTGTATCTTTCAGAAGAACCTGAGGTCTCGAACAACTCTCAGGGGGCTAAAGCACAAGAAAGAAATCCTGCTGAATGGTCTAATAGAGGTCTCACCTTGTGAGATTGGCTATTGGGGTCCTGGTCGCTTCATCATTTCTTGGTCTAATAATTGACTGAAATGTGGACAAACCACCTGAGGACAGAATCCCAGGCTCCTCTTTTCTCTTCTTCTAGACCCACATGTGTGACTGATCCTGCAGAGCATGAAGGGTGCCCTCCTCATGTTGTGACCTTTCACCAGATGAAGAAAACTTTCTTCAGGGGTAGAGTCTGCAACTTCAAATCCCCAGAGGCCAAGTCAAGCTTTGACTTTCAGAGCAGAGGAGTACCATGGTCTCCCTAATAACATCTCTTGATATTGTATATGTATATATAAAATATATGTAATATATAAAATATATGTAATAACATGGATATTAATAGCTGAAGCGTTGCAAGGTGCTTGTGTCAGTGTGACCTAAGCAAAGGGTTTTAAGGATGGCTTTCATCAGGGCACTTCAATGCTGGAGCATCCTCAGCAACTCAGCTCTGAAGGTTCACTGCTGTCATGAACATAGGTCATGCAGCTTCAGGTTTAGGCCTCAAAAATGCTATTTCATGTATCTCCTTAGGTGGTTTTAGGTATCTCAGGGAATGTGCATTGGCCTAGGGAGGATGATCCACCCTGGCTGCTCTATGGGCAGTGGATGGCAGCTGGAACCTGCAGTTCAGTCCAACCCACCCATGCCACAGCACATGGCCAGATGCATGGTCTGTGCCTTTCCACTCTCTGTCATGGGGTGCCACAGCTCTCAGCTCCACCAAGTCACAGCTGCCCTTTGGAAATTCCTGCAGAGATTATTTTTGGCAATAATCTGAGAATCCAGAACTTGCTTCTGGAAAGACAATTTAGGGACTATTAAAGATGCTTTGGAGAAAGGTCCAGGGAGGCAAGCTTTGCTCAGAGCTGGCATGCCCAGCTGCCCATCTCTCTCATCAATGACTTCTGCTTCTTCAGAAATGGAGGGTACCATAGCTGAGCTCTGTCCACCACTTCCCACTTCAACTCAGCAACACAGGATTGCAACAGACAGTCTTTCTTATTAATCTCTATTTTCCCATATGATGTCTGCAGACCAATCAGAAACAGTTCACCAAACAAAGTTAAGCAATATCACAGAGAACTTTAAGAAATTACTCCTTATCACCCCTCCTGAGGATAAGCTCAATGGTCAAGGCCACAGTTAAATCTTCCTTTTCTTGTAAAAGTTAACTGAAGTTAGTTATTAAAGTGCTGGCAGTATTTAGGTAGGTTCTGAAGTGAAGAAGAGCACAAGATAACCTGCATTGCCTGTGAAAATTTCAGGGATATCTTTATCCAAAAAATCTTGGTGTAGTTTCTTCTGAAGAGCTTCCTGGAAGATATACCAGGTACAACTTTAAATTGTCATTTTAGGTATGGGATATGTGGAGTAATGCTTATAAATTAAATGTTTCTAGTCATGTGTTTTATTTTTTGTAAAATGTAAAAGTTTCCTTTGTGGAATTTCTTTGTATTTTTCAATTGTTTATATTGCAGAGAAATTAAATTTGTGAGTGGGTATACAAAAGTGGGATGGACCATGTTAATATCTAATTATTCAATTGAAATTACATAATTTTGTGTACTTCTTATATTTAGGATATTTAGGATAAATCAGTAAAGGGAAAAAAATATGCCTTTGTTAATCCTCTCAACAAAATGGCACACATGAAAATATGCATTTCCAAGATTTCATGGAGCTGAGGGATTAGCAGTGGAGTTGGAGATTTTTTATGTATGAGAAATGGCAATGCTGTTAATTGCTGTCCATAAGAACAGGATCAGAGGCTATATGGATTAAAACTGAACCAGAATCTTGTCTGGTTTCATTGAAATGCTTGTTTTCAGTGAACTTCAATGAAATGCAGTTTCATTTCAGATCTAGTCTTGGTCAATAATGACTGAAATTTGTAACCACTCAATAGCTGTGCAGTGTAAGCTTGGTCTGTGCTGGACACATTATAGAAGTCATCAGAAGAATTGGTCTTGTCCTCCAAGGAGCCCAAGGCACTCTAGAGAGGCAGTGTGGGATACTGGAGTACAGACTTTTAGGAAATTCATGAAGGACACTGGCCTTCACCATGCTGGTACTTTTCACAATATCCTCCTTTTCTCTGAAACATCTAAAATAAGTAATGTCTCCAACTCATAAAAAACTCCCTGTACTGAGGGCATCCCATCTTTTTAGAGATGTATGGGAAGAAAATGAGAGTGAGCCAAGAGGAAGGCAATGCTGGCTGCATTCCTGGTATCTGGCAGTTGCTGATAGAGGCTTAGAAGAGGGAACCATACAGGAGAAGCTTGCCTAGCAGCATGATCATCTACTTGCAGCAAGGTGCTGCTCCATGTGGTCCTGTTTACCTGCCAGGGAACAGGCTGAAGGCATCTTCCACTGCACTGCAGGTGCTTGGGCTGGCTTGGTTAAACCTCACTGAAGCACAGCACAGTGGTGTTTAGTTCAGACTTCAGCTTGGCGAGGCTCGTGGTTTCCCCCTGCAGCTCTAAGCCATCCACCCCCAAAATTTGGGGGTCCATTCAGGAGGTAAAAAACACATTGCAAAGGACTTACGCCTCCAATAAGACCAGCACTAATAAACCAAAGGATGTTCAGAAAATTCCAAAGAAGCTTTTGTATGCTCCCTGAGGCTGGGGCAGTAAACTTGGCCTGCAGAAAGAAGAATTTCTGGGCAAGGGGCAGGAGGGACAACTGAAATGCTCTCAAAAACTACAGCAGCTGCAGCACTGAGGAAAATCTGAAATGAAAGGGTTGCCCATACACTTATTTTATTTTTATGGCTTATGAACTTTTCAAAGAGTACAAATAGTACATCTTGTGCCCTATAATATAATGGACAAAACTATTCCACAGGACTTTCAGCAATATTCCTCTTTGTGACATGAAGTCTAAAAGGCAGACACACAGACTAGGAAACAGAGCAATTTTAAAACCTTTAATAGATAAAACAAATTTCTTGCAAATCTAAGTAGCCACAATTTATATGGGAATAAACTGAACTAATTTTTTAATTGAAATTGTATCAGCCTCAGTTTTGGAGCTCTGATCCCAACAGAGGGAGGGACATTAGTGTAAAATTACAGATCAGAATATGATTTTAGCTGGCTTTGCATCTGTGTTTTGAATATGCTTAGATTTTTAGCATTTGCCTGCTGGAATAATTGCCTTCCAGTTTTTTGGGAAATATTACAGATCTAATTTTTTATGTTAAAACAGAAAGTAAAAATGTTTAACTCATTGCCAAAATAGTGAATTCTTTGTGCAAGAATGGCATGTCAACAAAATATCTAAGAGATTCATTGACATTGTTTGAACTTCTACACGTCTATGAATTTCCACAGAATCAACAACAAGGAAATTAAAATGAAATCACTTAAAATGGGTCAATAATAGGCTCTGAGCTGTAGCAAAGTTTCAAGGTGGGAATCACATTTTAATGCCAAAATTGTCATGGATTAAAAGCTTTTCATTTTTTCATAACTATGCAAAGAACTTTGTACCACATTAAAATCCGTGCTGTGATATCTCCAAATGTTGAGTAGTCACAGGTCTGAATCTGAGCTGCATTTAGGGTATTTCATCAAGAGTCAGATGATAGACATGGGCAAGGAACTGATGCTGGTCAGGCATCTGTCAAGAGACCACCAGCCAGCACCAATGCACTATGGAGCATACTCATTAAGGGAGAGAAAATAAATAAAAAACCTCTATTATCAGTGTCCCAAAAGACTACTTGCTTCCTACAGTACATCTTCATCTCTGAGTCAAAACAAAATAGAGCAGGATTGAACAGATTAGTTCCAGTTGGAAGGATCTTACAATGATCATCTAGTCCAACTGTTGCTACAAAGAGCAAGTTCCACAGCTTCCGTCTGGGACTAGTACTACGTTCAATATTTAATGGTGGCTTCAACTGAGAGAAATATTTTTAGATAGTACAGATTTTAGGTGAATTTAATGTGGGAAGAATGTGTGGCGTAATGCAAAACTTAACAGCACAGTGAGCAGCACATTGATGGCATCAATTAATTGCTGCAAAATACCCAGTGGTATTGACTGAAGTGAATGATGAGCAGATTCATTTTCACGTGTAATGTGGGCTCCAGGGGTCATTTCTGGAGTGACCCAGGACAGTTTCTCTTCAGCACAGCATGCAAATGTGGGTTGGGACAAGGCAGAAAATAGCATTCAGGTAAGACATTGCAACAACCGTTCATGAACATGAAGCAGAGGAGAAGCAGTTCAGACAATCTGTGCAAATACATCTTACAAATAACAAGCAACAATATCATGCTTTTTTCCCTACTGATCTCCTTGTCACACAAATCCAGCACAATACATTTAGCCTTGTTTCTGAATCCAAGAGAGGATGGCTGAGCCCTGCCTGCACTCTGCCTTTCCCCTCATCTGTGGGTTACAGTGAGCTCCCAGCCCTCCCAGCAGTGCCACAAAGAGAAACTGCTTGGGATCTGATTGTTTGTTCTTTAGGAAATTAATCTCCTTTGAGGGAGGAAGTTTTTGATTGTACATGGCTGAGTCAGAGATAAATTAACTCAAAAACCATCTTGTGCACTTTTTGGCTGCATCTTTAGAAAGAAATAGTTCATGCTCCAGTGAAACACTGCTCTGCAGTGGGAGGAGGAGCGGGGCGGGAGATCACCTTGGCAAAGTGAAGTGGGTGTCTCAACCATCCCTCTTTTGATCTTCAAAGGTGGTAACGCTCAGTTTGGAGCTCACTCAGCTATGCTATGGCTATCCGCCCCACAGTACATAAAGAGCTAACCCTTTATTAGGGTACTTCATTTCAGGTTTTTAAGTGCCTGGGGCAGAGAGGAGCACGCACAAGTAACCATCCTATCCTGACATTTCAGGAGAAATGGTTGAACCTGTGGGTAACCATTATGTTATAGCCAGACCTGTATACTCGGAGAATGCATTCAATGAAGAACATGGGAAATTGCACAGATACCATAAAACTTTTTGGGATCACCTGAAACTCTATTTTAGGTAAGGAGATTTATTTATTTTTTTTAATAGATCTAAGAAACAGTCCTGACTGCTCTTGGGCAGCATGAACTTCATCTTGACAGTGTCTATCTCCCATTCTAACACAGAAAGTGAAAATTTATTAATTAAATTAAATGTCATATTTTTCTAATGGATTTTGGCTGTTGTCACCCTTAGATGTCTTCCTACAGCTATATCTAAGGTAGCTTCTTTTTCTGTGGGCCATTGGCAGCATAAGCTCTAGGAAGACCTTACTGCACTCTTTCAGTACTTAAAGGGGTCTTATAAGAAAGACATACTCAGGCTTTTTACTGTGGCCTGTTGCAGCAGGACAAGGGATGATGGTTTTAAACTGAAATAGGGTAAATTTGGACTGGCTATCAGGAAGAATTTTTTTATGATGAAGGTGGGAAGGTACTGGCACAGGTTGCCCAGAGAGGTGGTGGATGCCCTGTCCGTGGAAATGTTCAAGGCCAAATTGAGCGGAGCTCTGAGAAACCTGACCCAGTGGGTGGCATGCCTGCTAGCTGGGGCCAGGGTTTGGATTAGATGGCCACAGATTTTCCTTTCCAGTGAGATCTTCCTTTCTATGAGAATTTGGGTTTTAAAGGACCTCTGAACGCCATTGGATATATCTTGAAGCATGTGGTGTGTGGTACTGCATGATGGCAGTGCAGGTTGATCAGGGCTGTGTCTGGGTGAGATTTTGACTTCTGGCAGCCAGAACCTGAATCCTTCCACTTTCCCCACCTCTCTGAAACAGGCTGCGATTCAGCTGAGCTGTTCACTGACAAAATTTTGTCCTCTTGTGTCTTTGCAGCTGCTCTCCACAAAGGGTCAAAAAAATTGCTTTGCGTTTGTTTCCAGTCTTTTCCTGGCTGCCAGCGTACCGCTTCAGGGAGTGGATCCTGAGTGACATCGTCTCTGGCATCAACACGGGGCTCGTGGCTGTGCTGCAAGGTACCTTTGGGAAATGTGTGTCCTGACACAGCCTGCTAAGCCAGGTGCCAAGGCACTGCTGGCTTCTGCCTGCAGCACACATGTCACCTTCCCCGGGCCTCTGTCTTTACAGGTCTGGCCTTTGCTTTGCTGGTGAATGTCCCCCCCAGTTATGGACTCTATGCAGCATTCTTCCCTGTCCTGGTCTATTTTATCTTTGGCACATCAAGACATATCTCAGTGGGTAAGTTCAGGCACACCACTTACCTTCCCCACTGATGAAGTACATGCTGCCTCTTCAGATCCTTTAACAAGCCTTGTGCTGCTCAGGTCCCTTCCCTGTCCTGAGCCTCATGGTGGGAGAAGTTGTCACCAGGCTGGTTCCTGATGACAGCACTGGAAATGGCAATTCCACAAATACCTCAGCAATAAATGATGAGAGGGTGATGGTGGCTGCATCTGTAACCTTCCTTTCTGGGATTGTTCAGGTTGGTAAATGTACATGTGTGTGCACCTATGTGAATAGATGGAGGGTGGCCTGACCTCCCTCTCTGGTTTCTGCTGTTGTAGTCACCAAAGTAATCCTCTTCCATTTTCCATGTAACCTACCCTGGCACACTAATAATAACATCTGTCCCCTCCAGTGACCAGGCACTCATATGTGCTGTGAAATCCTTGGTTTTGCACAGCCCACACATCTGCAACTTACACCTACAGCAAAAAAGAAAATAGCTGTGAAAGTAATGTGAATGATGCAGATGCACCAAGGGGAGTAAACGCTTTGCCTTGCAATAGTAAAATATTTGGAACTGCTTTTTTAAAAAAAACATTAATCCTTACTCTCTAACACAAGAATTCCTACTGTTCCTCCCTTGCTAACATACTAATATATTTGTTGCTTTGTGAGACACTTAATCCATGTGAAAATATAGGAATTAAAAACCCTGGAAATTAGGATGTATATTTTAGCTATAAAATAAAAACAGTGGGTTTTAACTGCTGTAGCAATTACTCTTACTAGTATTATGCCCTCTGTTGCTAAATGTCAAGTTTTGTTGCAAGTCTGGTGACAATACATTCTTTAATCTCTGGATGGATAGGACTAGGTTAAAATCTTTGCTTTCATTAAATACGGCTGTCTTTCTTTGAAAGATTGCTTAAAAACATAAATGAATCCCACTGACCTATGCTTATTTTGTGTTTCAGTTGCTTCTGGGAATTTTGCAGTTTGGATTCATCGTTATTTATCTATCACAGTCATTAATCAGCGGTTTCACAACTGCTGCAGCTATCCATGTTTTGGTATCTCAACTGAAATTCATGCTTCAGCTACCTGTCCCTGGATTTAATAAACCATTTGGCATTATCTATGTAAGTGCTAGGTGTTCATTATTTGCTAATGTTATTGATGTACCTGTGATGTATTTCTGACTATATATCACAAGGCAGTAATAACGACTTAGTATAAAAACTCAAAACAGGAGGGAAAATGAGAGAAAAATGAGTGATATTAGTGAGTTATAACATGAGTTATTAGTATTTGACCAATCTTTAAATTTATTACCAAGCACCAATTTACACCCCACTGGGATAATTAGATAATATTTACTATTTTGTGTTGGTGTATTTCAATTAAGCATTCAACTCTGCCTTAAGGATGTAATTATTCATTTTTACTGGACTGATATTATATGTATTCAATTTGCATATTACTCTCTGAGGACTGTTGAATGAGAAAGGAGGGAGAAGAAGGACAGGAAGGAAGGAGTGGAGAAAGGCACCTGCCCAGCAATGCCATTGCTCACGTTTCCTATCATGGACATGCCTGTTGTTCCAACCCTCCCTCAGGGGCAAGTCTGGATAATATAGTGGGAAGGGTCTTCTGCAGATACTTCCATCATTTGGCAGGTGCACATACATTCATGGGGGCTTGCAGTCCACATCATGGCTCAGGGAATAAATCCCAAACAGCACAATCCTCAGGTTCTTCTGGAAGGGATAGTGCTACTATAGTGCCAGGGCACGACTGTTTCTAAAGCACCACATGTTTCTTCCTAATTCTGCAGACTCTGGAGAGCATTTTCAGCCAGATCACAAAAACAAACGTTGCTGACCTTGTCACATCACTGGTTGTCTTGCTTATCGTGTTCGTGGTAAAAGAAATGAACGATCGATACAAGGAAAAGTTACCAACACCCATCCCGATCGAACTCCTCGTGGTGAGTCATTTCCTTTGATTTTGCAATTGCTCCATGTTATGACATGGGAAGCAGAGTTTTAACTATTTCTTCTCCTGCTGTGCATTAAATGATGCATTATCATTTTACCTATAAAGAAAAAAATCACAGCATTAGGGAGCTATTGTGAGATGTTTTCCTACCACAAAACTGTTCTTAACTGAAACATATCTGTGGTGTTATAAACAATGAATTTTTTTCCTTGGACAGAATTGGCTCTGCAACTGCAGCCAACTGCAGTCTCACAGCTGAGGCCCCTCTGCACTACACCTGCAAGCAGCCACAGAAGTCCTGGACATCTATGGCCACACACAATATTATTTTGCTGCAGAAGGTTTTGCCCACTCTGAGCAGCAGAGGGGTGGAGGAATCCCTTAAATCCTGGAGGATGTTGTATCCCCACAAGCAGCACTTGTTTTCCCCCAGAGTCATTACAGCGCCTTGTTAGAACATACCTGGTTTACTGGGTGGGATGATCTCTGTTGTTTGTAAGATATTTTGTTACAATCTGTGTGATTTATGAATGTAAACCCATACCTGTAAGGTCATTCAGGAATGACGCCTGAACTGCAAAGGGATGTGAAAACTTGGAGCATAATTCTAGTCATCACTAATGATGAGGCTGGACAGTGTGTGAGGGAAGGAAGCTAATGGTGTTTGATAAATTCTTCACACTTTTGCTTTAATGTGCCTAATGGACATGTGGTTTATTATCTTTCAGACAGTCTTAGCAGCACTGATTTCCTATTTTGTCAACTTTGAAGAAAAATTTCAAGTAGCCATTGTTGGAAAACTAGAGGAAGGGTAAGTGACTTACAATTCACCAGTGGAGCAGAACGTTCTCTTTAGTTTGGGAGTGTTAAATGAGTTCAGCTATGTTTCTGATTAAAATTATCTGCTTCATCTTCTTTCAGTAGGTAAATAAACATTTTTCTCTCAATGATATGACACACTTTTAGTACACAAAAGTTACACACTAGAGCACATCTCCTACTCATCAAGGAGTACCCTGAGACATGAAGTAACTGTGTCCTTCTCCTTCTGAGACAGCTGGTGAGCAGGAGGTTAATGTTTGTCCTTTTTATTTAACTACTCACTCCTGCACTCCTCTGTTTCCCTCACAGTACATGCACAGTTCAGCAGCCACCACCAGCCCTGGGAAGCCACCAGGACCCTGCACAATTCTCCTGCCATGTCCCATGACCAGCCACCAGCATCTCCTCAGCACCATTATCCTCCAGAGGCCTCAACATCTGCCTGTCCAGGACTATATCCACATAAAGATTATTTCTCCACATATAGAATATATAGCTATATGTAGACTTCATTTGGCTATGCTAGAATTTTGGCATGAAGAATCAGGAGGCACATGTTAAGCTAAATAGAGGGAGGAAGACATTTACTAGGACAGCAGAGTGAGTCTCTGTATGGAGGGTCTCTGTAGCCCCGGGGGTATTCATAGGTGAAGTTTGCAGAGGAGCAGCTATTTCTGCTCAAGAATGTCCTTTTTTTAGATTTCAGTTCACTGGAAAAAAAAAAAAAGAAGGGGAAAAAACATGTCCAGAGAGGAATTCTCCCTAGGATCTGCAAAAGACCCTTAAGCATCTCCTTAATGAGTTTTTTGTCTTTCAGATTTCAAGTGCCTGTTGCACCTGATGTAGGCATCCTCCAGAACTGCATTGGTGACGGCATTTCCATCGCAATCGTTGGGTTTGCAGTAGCTTTCTCCGTGGCTAAAGTGTATTCCATCAAGCATGACTACCCAATAGATGGCAACCAGGTAGGCTAATAACATAGAAATCAATATACTGCATTTATCAAAGGGAAATAAGTAATTTTAGGAAAGCTTTGCCTTGTGAATAATTGTCACAGATCAGCTCTTAAGAACAATCTCTTTTATTTTTATTTCAGGAACTAATTGCTTTTGGGCTGGGTAATATAGTTGGTGGATCATTCAAGGGATTTGCCTCCAGCACTGCTCTGTCAAGATCAGGTGTGCAGGAGAGCACAGGAGGCAAAACACAGGTATAGAAGACAACAGGTCACAATGGCATTTAATGAAAGACAGCTCTTTTTTTCCAAGCTAACCATAATGCTTGTGGGCACTTACTCATTGTGGAACTGTTCTTTCATGCAGATTGCTGGCATTATCTCATCTGTCATTGTTTTGGTTGTGATCTTGGCCATTGGGTTTATCCTGGCACCATTACAGAAGGTATTCACTGGTTTCGTCTAATGCTTCCTTCTGCTTCCCAAAGACAGGGCTGCTCTGAGCACACTGTGAGTGTTCATAGACTTCAGTGGGAGCCAGATTGGGTTTGAAAAGCTAGGTTCTTCTTCCCACATTATGCCAGAGAGGACCACTGTATCTGGTCCTCCAAAGGGAGCACTAGCACCCAAACACCAAAAACCACAGCACCAACTTTCAGATGCCCAGGATAAGCGGGATTTACATCCTCAAGTCAGACACCTGCACTGCACCATAGCTGAGGATGTTCCCGCAGCAGTGATACACTGCAAGCAGCTCCCAAAGCTGCACTTTGGCCCTATTTGTATTATCTTTTAATTCCTAATGTTCTACATTTTCTTTGCTTGCTTAAACATAGAACGTGTATTTTGGTCTTTTTAACAGTCAGTCCTTGCATCATTGGCTCTTGGCAATTTGAAAGGAATGCTCATGCAGTTCAAGGAAGTAGCCATCCTCTGGAGAAAGGACAAGTATGACTGTGTAAGTTCAGTTTCACAAGCATCAGAAGTGTTTTGAAAAAGTAATCTGTCATACAAATTTTCTTTTTTTATCCCTGTGTTAATTCACTAAACAGAAATGATTGCTTGCCTTTTTTTACTGGTATACCCCTTGCTTATGTTTTCATTTTGTCCCATTTATTTTGAGTTGATTCTCACTCTTAACATAACTTTCATCCATTTCATCAAAATCTATTAAAACAGTGCATTATATAAAGTCAAATATAGAGGATAGTTACAGAAAATGTCTAAATAATCCAAATCCAAATATCTACTGCCTCGACTAAGCATTCAGGGACACTTTCTCACAATCACACATTGTGTTATATGGAAGGTACACAGCAAGAAACAAACGAAAACTGGGACTTGAAGGGTTTGCTCCAAATGATAAAGCTTGTGGCTGGATGGTAGGACTTGTTACCTCTCAGAAAATTTAGGTTCACAGATTGTTCCAGGCCTCAGTTACCCAGCCATCAAACAATTATTTGTCCCATTAAAATGCTTTGAGCTCTGTGGCTAAAAGTTATTCAGTATTATCTAGTCATTTATCAGTTGTGTACACTCACAGCACCTATATTTGCACATTTACAACTCTCAGCTGTACCAGATTTCTGATTTACTTCTCATCTTGCCTTTCTGCTGGATTTTCATAGAGCATGTAGTGAACCACTTATCCCATTTTAAGTCTTTATTGTCTAGAAATTGTTGTCCCTAGAAACACTCCCTGGTGCTGCTTGGTGATTCTGGCCCTGTTTTACAAGAAAAAAAACCTCACCAAAAGCAGATGGACATCCTGGACCAGATCTGAGATCTATTCCTGCTCCCACCCTGAGCTCATGACCCAGGTTCTTCACATGCTTATAATGTTGCCATCCTCTGTCTCATTACAGGTTATATGGGTGGTGACTTTCATAGCTGCTGTCCTTCTAGGTCTGGACATTGGACTAGCAACAGCTGTGGCATTCCAGCTGCTGACAGTGGTGATCCGCTCCCAGATGTGAGTACTTGTATCATTGAATGCAATGATATCCCAGGGCCTCCTGTTACAAGTTACCTCCCTCTGTACGGAGAAGGGCAGCAGCCCTGTCTGTGCCGTGGTCAGTCCAGCAGCCATGCATGAGAAAATAATTTACAGGTGTAAGCCTTTGGATGTGGGGCTTGCTTCAGTGTGCCACCCCAGCTGAGATGGTTTCATTTGATCCTTCCCATCCCCTAAGTTTCGATGTAGGACACCAATAATTGTGTGTATGTTTGTTCACAGTCCAAGCTGCACTGTTTTGGCCAATGTTGGGAGAAGTAACATCTACAGAAACAGGAAGGATTACACTGATGTAAGAAATACCTCATTTCTTTTACCACCTGCTGCACTTGTGCTTCTATAACAAACATTGCTACTGGTACTTTTGCTTCATTTTACAGATCTATGAGCCAGAGGGAGTGAAGATTTTCCGATGCTCCTCTCCAATCTTCTTCGCTAATATTGAATTCTTCAGAGAGAAACTCATCACTGCTGTAAGTGTCAGGGGCTGTTTTGAACATATGAATTGAGTGACACATTAAGGTGGATACAGTTTCCCAATAATAACTAGATATGTAGTCATTCCACAGTTCAAGAGTGAATTTTCATTATACTGCTTATATTCATTAATACTACTGTGTTATAACATGTATACACACACCTCTGAGAAAGAGAAAAGCCTTGACTCATGCTGAACTTACACCATAGCAATGTTATACCATATTTATACTTATACCATAACAATACATATTTTCAGAAGAAAGGAGTGCAAATATAGATATTATAAAGGGAAATTTATTTTATTTTATTTTATTTTATTTTATTTTATTTTATTTTATTTTATTTTATTTTATTTTATTTTATTTTATTTTATTTTATTTTATTTTATTTTATTTTATTTTATTTTATTTTCTCTTGCATTATTTTCACACAGTGAATTCTAGTTTACTCATCTTGCCCCAAGAATGTAACTACAACAATCAGAAGAATGCCAAATGGAATCATTCTATCAAAGAGGTCTTAACATAGCAACCTGGTGAATGCAGCCAGTGTTTCCATAACCAGCACAGAGGTCCAGGAGCCCTGAGCCCACACAGTGTGTATGAGGCCTGCCATCCCCAGCCTGAACACAACTTGCACCACAACCTCCCCTTCCTGCTGCTCTTAGTGGAGAGCTGATAAGCAGGGACTCCACTGAGCACTGGTAATATGCAGTTCATTCTTCACGTGAGGGACTGAAACTGGCAGAGGAATGAGGGGATCTGACACATTTGGTTTGCCATGTGCTTGGCTTTTACCTGAGAAGAGCCTGAAGTTTTAATTTCTGAGTGCGGATGTTCACACCACTCTTTCTCTACAAATACAGATACTTCTAACACCTTTCTCCTCTATGTACTAGATGAATGAGGCAGAAAACTTGCAGGAATTTAGTATTTCAGCCTAATTTTATTATTAGCCTAATTTACCTGCCAACATGATAAAATCTTGCTTTTTTCTTCAGGGAAAAGTGTAGATGAATGACCCACGCTGCTGTCAGGCAGCACAAAGCAGATACAAACCATGAGTTCTCTGATCTTGGTCACCTGGGTGACCACTTCATAATGTAGATGAGTAGGACATGCCAGCACTGTGCCAGCTGTGCCTGTGTAAGCATTGTCACTGCTATAATGCTGTCCATGCTGGTGTCCTAAAGCAATACAGATAGCCCTGCCTCATTTGTAGCCATTCCTGTAGACATCCTTCCAACCTAGAAAGAGCCCTTGTTTGAATTTTTGAGAAGTGGTAGACAACATCAAGCTCAAACTATGGTCATCATGTCTGTAATGAAAAACCGTATGAGATGCTTCATCCTTCCCCTGGTGTCACAGAGGTGTTTCTTTTTTTAATTAGTCGAAGTGCTGTTTTTTCAGGTTGGCTTCAACCCACTGAGAGTCCTGAGGAAACGCAATAAAGCTCTGAGGAAGATTAGGAAGATGCTGAAGAAAGGAGAGCTGCAAGTGACGCCGGTATGTAAGGCAACTCCCCGGGGGTGAGGGGGAGTTAAGCAACCAAGGTCCCTGGTTTTACATGGCAGAGAAGGGCCTCACAGCCTCTCTTCTTAATTAGATACACTATTCGCCAAGTTCATGACATAAACACATTTAAAAACCAAGATTTTAAATGGATCTCACAGTTAGAGACCTACAGATTTACCATGGGCAGAGCTTGGTAAAGAGCATGGGTATGTGTCCACTGGAGCTTTGTTTGGCAACAAATAGCAGGATCAGATCTCACAGATCTGATCATATATCCCAATATAGAATCCTAATATCTTTCTGCATTAATGGTAGGATAAAGCTGGTTTTCTCCCTGCTCAAATCCTGCACGCCTTTTGTTGTCTTGTTCCAAAATTACTGATTTAAAATGTATCTGACAACTGGCTTCAGGAAACAATAAAAAGGCATCATTAAGTGATTATGATGATGATTAAATAATTTCCATACTTCTCCAGACAAGGGAGAGACAGATTTTTCCAGGTGGGTCCTGCTCTATGTCATGAGGAGATCAGTCATGTGTTGCCACTACTCTTGACCTTGTGTAAGAAGTACCACTACCCTGGGGGGGTATTAAAGAAGAGAACTAATTATGAAATTCTTCTGTGTCAACACAGAAAGGCTTGATTTGCATGGCTAAGCCAACATATGAGTCAGATGAAGAGTTAGACAACGACAAAATAGAGGAGCTGGACCAGCCCACCGTCATGACAGACTTGCCCATTCGGATCAACTGGGACACTGACCTTCCCCCTGGCATCACTGTGCCCCAGGTCAAACTCCACAGCATCATTCTGGATTTCTCATCAGTGTCCTTCCTTGATTTTTCTGCCATGACAGTCCTTCGAAAGGTAATCACAATTCACATGACAAACAGTGATCATATGACAGACAAACCAAATGCGGTTACCCTTGGGGGATACACATGAGCAAAGGGATGGTGCCCAGGGGGACCTGCACAGGAGTGGGCCCTTCTGAACCTCATGAAGTTCCACAAGGCCAAGTGCAAGGTGCTGCACCTGGATCAGGGCAATCCCCAGTATTGATACAGACTGGGGAATAAATGGATTGAGAGCAGTCCTGCAGAGGAGGAGGTGGGAATACTGGTGAATGAAAAGTTGGACAGGACCTGGCAACGGGCACTCACAGGCCAGAAAGCAAATCAAATCCTGGGCTGCATAAAAAGAAGTGTGACCAGCAGGTGATTCTTCCCCACTCTCATGAGAGATTCTACTTCACTCTCATGAGACCTCACCCAAGGTACTCTGACCACCTGTGGGGTCCCCAACAAAGGAAAGACATGGATATCTTAGAACAGGTCTTGTGACAAGAGCCATGGAAAAAGGATCAGAGGGCTGGAGCATCTCTCCTATGAGGAAAGGCTGAGAGAGATGGAGTTGTTCAGCCTAGAGAAGAGAAGACTATGGGGAGATCTCCCTGTGGCCTTTCCATACTTAAAGGGAGCCTATTAAAAAGCATGGAGAGGGACTTCTTACAGGGGTATGCAGTGACAGGACAAGAGACAATGTCTTTAAAATGAAAGAGGGCAGGTCTAGAGTAGAAGAAAGCTTTTGCTGTGAAGGTGGTGAAATACTGTAACAGGTAGCTCAGAGAAAATGTGGGTGCTCCATCCCTGAAACTGTTCAATGGCAAGTTGGATTATGCTCGAGCAGCCTGCTCAGTTGTGTCCCTGTCCAGGGCAGGGGTTTGGAACAAGATGATCTTTTAGGTCCCTTCCAACTGAAACCATTCTATTCTGTGTTTGTAGTCTGCTTCTTAAAGGCATTGCCACATGGACTGGAAGGCCAGTGGCAAACTTTGAGTTTATGTGAATTTGAATGTACATTTTTTATAGAAAATGTTAGGAAATAGTTTAAATATCAATAATTAACAATCAATATTAATTGTCTTGGAATTAAAGTGTTGACTGTGGTACCCTTTCTTTACCTGGTAACATTTTGGGAAGCTTTACAGCAATGTAGATATGAAATACTACTTTAAACACACAGATGGAGTTGGAACACTGGAGTTCCATTTATCCTCCTGCTTTTGCTTCCCCAGATGACCTTGAACAAAGCAAAAGGCTTTTCAACAGTAGCAACTACAGTTAACTGTCTAGAGACACAGAGAGTGTGTAAATCGATTTCCATAGGGACTAAAGACCCACTGTTACAGTGGGAACTGTAGTTCTGCTCAAGTTCCCAGTAATAAAAATCTCCCCTAGAAGATTGTGAAGTAATTTTTTTTTCAGTTTTATCGTGTATCATGTGCCACAACAAAGCCATACAATTGATCACCTGCTTCTCTGTGAGTTAAACATTTTCAGTACTACCTCTTTTCAAAAGGCTTGGACATCCCTGTTGGCAGCCATGTGAAGATACTGTCCTGCCTCTATGTGTAACAGAGTTTGAGTCTAGAGCCACTTACCATCATAAATCTTAAATATCATAGAGTGGTTGGTATATTTGTTGTGGCTAATCACTATAACAGTGTCAGCAAGGCCAGTAGAATCTAAATGGTGCCTCCTTCTGGTTTAACAGACTTTGAAAGAATTTGCCCGGCTTGACATTGACCTTTACATTGTTGGGGCACACGGTGAGTACTTGCCTTTGCATTGGCATCACTACAAATGCCTTGTCCCATTGCCTCCCCTGCTGACCACTGAGTATGGCTGTGGAGGATCACCCAGTTTTAACTTCCAGTCTTGGATAGAAAACAGGTCCCACAAGTGGAGTTGTTGTCCCTCTCATGCAGTCCCCAAAAGGCTGGGACCATGTGTGATGGCTCGCTCCTTTTACCACTGGCCACTGCTGCACTGTACAGCTCTGGGCTGCAAGACCAACTATCATGCATCCTGGGTTAGACATTAAATAAGAAAATTCATTCCTGCCTGGCACAAAGCAGGGAGTTACTGATGGGCATTTATGTTCCATTGTCTTAATATCTGTAAAGTCATCTGCTCTAATAAATAAAACAGTGCATTACACCAGCAACTCCCATATTCACCCAGTGGGCATGCTCAGAATACACAATTTCTTCATTTTTAAGGCCTGCAGGTCACTTTGCTCTTTGGTTTTGTTCCCTCACAGAAGGCCTCTTGGACAAACTGGAGAGAAGTGCATTTTTTGATGAAGAGATTAAGCCATCCATGTTTTTCCTCACTATTCATGATGCAGTTTTACACATTTTGCTGAAGAAGGACATAGCCAACTCCCCCAAATTAAAGCTTGCTGAGGTAACACTACAGTCTTAATCTTTCATTACCTGAGTGCCTTTCCAGTACTGCCAGGCTCCCAGCAGTGCCCTGCACAGCTATAGCTGTGGATGCTACACTGTCTTATTTTCAAAAAGATAGTCATTAAAACTCAGCTGGGCTCCAACCAAATTGAAGAGCATGAGTGGGTCCTGGTTCAGGTGTGTGGAAAACCATTTGTGAAAGAAATGAATAATTCCCCCTGGTGGCTGGCCTGGCTGTGGTCTTCAAGTCACCTCCATGGGAGGAAATGGTGCCCATCCACCAGCAGTCCTCTGTGGTCACCCATGCTCAAGTTGCTGCAGTGGCTCTTGAAAGGCAGACTTTATCCTGCTTGCATATAGGCTTTCCAGCCCAGTCTGTCTTAAAAAGGAGTGCTAAAGTAGTGTGGATAAATTTTTACTGCCAGATTTGGTGATGGCCTTTCTGGGAGTGCTCTTAAATCAATAGCAAGAAAGGATCCTGCATACAATAAATGTGTTTAAATGTACCTGACCCAGAATGCTGCTAATCCCACTTATCTGGACTGGTCCAGATCTTCTGCACTGACCCAGAGATGTGGTGGGGGTCATAATAGCCTGACAAATGAGAGCCTCCTTTCTTCTATGTCAACTTCCCAGGCAGGTTCCAGAGATTTAAAAACCAAAACCTTCTTTAATGTGAAAAAGGAGAAACAGAAAAAGAAAAGCAATCTGTTTCCTAACCCACAACTTCTTGTGCTCATTGCAGGAGAAGGGCAGAAGCAGTGACTATGCCATCATCCCCAGGAACGGACTGCGCAGCCGGGAGTGCACAGTAAGGCTCTGGCTATGGCCTCCAGCTGTAGAAAATGCAGCCCAAGCTGCTCATGGAAACGGATAGGTTGGATAACAAAAGCATCTTCCCACCTGAGCTCTTGTGTCAGCCCAGGGCAGAAAGCCACCAGACAGTTTATTGATGGGATTGACTTACAGCAAAACCTTACGGGAGTCAGAGGCATGGGGCTCAGCTCACGAGCCTTGCAGTGCGCATGCAGCAGAGGGAAGGCAAGCAAAGCCTGCCTCACCTGGTCTCCTAACCTGTCCACCACAGCTCCTCCATGGTAAAGTCACTGGTAGAATGCCCCTGTGGCAGAGAAGTCAGCATTAGTCCAATTCATCTAAATGTCTCAGGCAGAAGGGGAGTCAGGAAACAGAGATGAGGAAGGGACACATGCAGCCTTTCACCACAGACTTAGAGAGATGGAAGGTACCCAGCACAGGGCAACCGTGCAAGGAGGAAATGTCAGAGCCCAGTCATCCCACCCAAATGCTTTAGGGGATCAAAACATCATTTACCAGATGACACCTACCCTGGCTATTCCTAACAGAATGTGAAATTTATTTTTTTATTCCCTACAGATTCCAACAGAAACAAAATTTTAGACTTAACTTCCTAAGTATAATATCCTCCAGCAACACAATGTCACAGAAGATGAATGCAGATGCTGTGATGAGCATGAAGACAGAAGGATACTTTTAAATACCTTGAGAAGGATTTTCTACATATGGTTATGTTCCATGTTTTGGAATGGGCTTGTTAGTCTTTATGTGTCTCTGTATATATAAATGTATTTATGTATATATATGGAGGCTAAAATAACACAGATTTTTCTTATTTCATACCACAGTTTGTAGACAATCTGTACAGTTACCTGAGAATCTATAAATATTTGAAATCTTGTATTGGATACCACCACAGAATAATACTTAGGACTGATATTTTATCTTAAGCATGTACATAACTTGTATAAAGTTTTCTTAATGGTTTGTAAGGTATTTAGTAGACTGAGACTTGCTCTTGCCTTACTACCACAAGCATAAGCACAGTGGTACACAGTGACTGATGTATCTAATTATGAAGATTGCTCAGGAAAGACACAGGATTTTCACATCAAAACATGATTTGGGTTTGGCTTGTGTAAAGTGCACAAGGGAGGAAACATTGATAGTGAACTGTTGTATATACATATATAGTGAACTGCCATGGTGTCAGTGACTGTATGGCTGCATCTGTCCATGCACCACCAAGGTAGCTCATGGTCAGTGAGACCCAGCCTGTGGACAGACACCAGCCCCAGAACCTGGCTGGAGCAGCTGTGGGTGTGGAGCTGCCAGGTGGGCAGGCTGAATTGCCTGGATCTATGGACAGAGGGCTTCAGCTTAAAGAGTCACCTCTGATACTCTGCACAACTGCCATCAATTAACCCCTGCTGGAAGTCTAAGGCTTGAAGATGAGCTACCTCACAACTTTCAGAGAAGAACAGAGAAGAATGCCCCAAGTGACAGAACTTTTAATTTTACATAACAAGTGCTAGAGGTAAAAAAATCTTCAGCCTAGAGGAAAATGGAACCATTCCTGGAGTCTGAAAGAAACAGCACTCTGAAATAACAATAGTTTAGTTTTCAAAGTTTGGTTTTGACTTTCAGTCAAGCTGGGGTGTCCAGAAATGTGCATTTGGACTTGAAGAAGGGCTGAAGGAAAGGAGAAAGTGTTCTGCTAATAAACTAAGCTGGAAGTCAGTACTAAGACTGAGGAGATTTTGAATATAAAAATGATTAGGTGAGCTTGAAGACAGAAGTAGACAAGTTCAGCTTTCAGGAAACACTCATGCATTTGCAGATGAATAACAAGCTTTGGTTCTGTAGTGGGTGATCATGTAGCTGACCTGGTGCGGGAGACATGGTCCTTGGTGGTGTCACAGAGATGCTGCTTCCTGCAGCTGTACCAACCCACTGCTCTTCTGAGCATGCCACAGCAGATTCACTGTCAGGTATGTCTCGTGTGCCAGATAATCAGCACAGCAGTACCTGAAGACAGGTACAATTAGCACACTACCAAACTGCCCTTCTAATGCAGTCTTCCAAAAAACATAGAGCATAACACAACAGATCTTTCCAGAACAAGAAAGTTATTCAGTCACCACCATATAAGAAGGTAATAAACTATTAGAGAGTGTCCAAAGAGGGCAACAAAGATGGTGAAGGACTTTGAGGAGAAGCCATATGAGGAGTGGCTGAGGTTACTTGGCCTATTCAGCCTGGAGGACACTGAGGGGAGACCTCACTGCGGTTACAACTTCCTCATGAGGGGAAAGAGGAGGGGCAGGCACTGATCTCCTCTGTGGTGACCAGTGACAGGATCTGAGGGAGTGGTCTGAAGTTGTGCTGGGGGAAGTTCAAGTTCAATATTAGGAAAAGGTTTTTTCCCCCCCAGGGGGTGGCTGTGCTCTGGAACAGGCTCCCCAGGGCAGTGGTCACAGCACCAGCCTGACAGAGTTCAAGAAGTGTTTGGCCGATGCTCTCGGGCACATGGGGTGACTTGCAGGGATGGTGCTGTGCAGGAGCAGGCGTTGGACTTGACGATCCTTCTGGGTCTCTTCCAATTCAGCACATTCTGTGATTCTGTGATACTGTGCAATGCACAGGGGAAATTTCACTCTAAATACTCTGAACTTCAGGACTGAGCTCTCCAGTTCAAGAAAGATGAAATCAAATGTTAATGAAGAAAATTATTATGAAGGTCTTTGTAAAATGGAGAGCCTGTATCTAAGAACTGGCAAAAAGATAAATAGATAATAGATACAGAGATTTAACCTAGGAGAGAGGAAAAGTTATGAAATATTAAAAAAAAAATATTGTCCTGTAAGGGGAAAAAAAAAATGAACTGGCCAAACTTAAACATGAACAAGATATTAGAAGATGGTTCCTCATTTTTACAATGGTGAGATCCTTTCCAGCTAGAACAAAAAATTAAACTGCTTTTATGATGAGATTTAAACATGTTCATGAAAGTCATGATACCACATCATACCAGTGTAATCTGAACTGTCAGACTCAAGCTGATCTTTTCAGTCCTGTGCTCATATGTACCTATACAGACCCAGACAAACTTCCCTATCAAAAGCAATATATGAAGTTCAGTATCTGGTGGAATACCACATACTGCACTTCAAAACCATATGGGATTCTTGGACAGGCTTCAGGTTAATAAAAAATGTTTTTTTCTAAATTGCACATCTCAGAATAATTCTTTTCTATACTAATGACTCTTCTGACACAGCACAGTGCCACAGAGGATAAATCCCCCTTCCAAAATTATTCACCATTTCTAAATAGACATGGTACATAGACAGCCTTGGCCATATTGCTCCTCCCGTATCACACATCCTTACCAACTACTTGCCATGTTCTTAAATCACCCTACTCCTTATTTTTCAATGTTGACACCAGCACCAATTGTACTTCTGATGCTTCATGAGATACTTCCTCCAGGTACTGGTTATTTCTGCAACTCTGTTATTCCAATACTAGCATTTTTCTGGGCAGTTTACCCACATGAAGATTGTAACATCTTGTTGTGGGATACTGTGGTGATGCAGATTTACTGCTTTATTTTTGAGACAGGGACCTTCAGAAACCTGGCTATTTAGGTTTCTAAACATCCTGCATTGGGTACTGTTTCTACTCAGAGCACTACTATATACTGTGTCTTAGTATTCTTAACTCAGGAGTTAAGCAAAAAGGCAAATTCCAAATTCTCCTGCTTTTTGGAGAGCTCACAGGTATCATGCTAATTCCTCATGACATATCCTGAG